GCATGCGTGCACTTGCACACTTAGCCATGACCCGGGCCGCATGCTCGCTCGTGACTGCACGTGGCTGAGGGCTGGGGGCGGATTACGGTGTCGGGACTTTGTTGGGACGGCTACCTCTGTCTTTCCAAAAAAAAGAAGAAAAGGCATGTGACCATGGCCAGCTAGCAACCAGGCCAGGAAGGAAGGTGGGGACAAATCTGAGCCGTGGTGTTGGTTACCGATGGTGTCTAGCATTGGACGGATCTGGGTTCCAAACCTGGCTCCACCACCTAACAGCGGTGTGACCTGGACAAGTGACGTATAGTCTCGGCTCGGGCCATCTGTAAAATAGGGTGATGACCCTGCCTCACGGGCTATCCCTTCAGTGTGTGAGGGACCAGTGATAACAACAGCTAATACTTATTAGGAGCTTCCTTGGTGCCAGACATCTGTTATAAGATGCTATTCTCATGCCTAAATTATATTAGGTCATCAGAAAAGTCATGACACTTTTGCATAGAAAAACAAAAAAGTCGTGACTTTTCTCATGACCCAATAGATAAGTAGTGAGGAAAGAACAGCACCACAGGGCCAGCCGGTGTGCGGTGGCTGAGGGGGCTGGATCCCACGTGGCCGACGGTGCAGTTAGGGTCCTGAAACACGCCAGGCGTGTGCGTGCATGCCCAGCATCCCAAGAGGAGAATGGAGAAGGGATGGCGGCATGGCCATCCTCCCAGGAGAAGACTTCCCCCTTTCCCTCTTCTCTCTCCAGCAAGTGCACATGCCCTATAGCAAAAACTACAAGCAAAACCCCCCCACCACGCCGCTGGATCTGGAAGGCGAGGAGGGAGGGGCTCCGTAGGGATTAGAGGAAGGTGTCCGGAAAGGCAGTGCAGTCGAGGCAGCCCCTGAGCGTGGCCCAAGGCGTCAGGGCTGGCCGGGCGGGTGGGGCATGACTGCTTCGGAGTCCTCCTGACCTGTCTCCCTCCCTCCGCACGGCAGGGAGTACCCCTCCCCAGTTAATAACGTGGGGCTGTCACCGTGGTCCCTTCGCAGTCAGCCCCGTCTTAGGGGCGGCGTTAAAGCACTTCCCGTGTACTGTTCCATCTCACTTTCTCCACTCAAATATTTGCAATACTTTATTAAAAAATGTTGAGGATAGCCAGGGAATGGGAGTTGTTATGTTCTGGGGGGACAGGGAGCACTCCCCAGCTCTGAGTTTTCATAGCCAACGCTGAGGGCACCCCCTGGGGGTAATTTCTCACGTTCCTTCTCTCTTTCTCCAGAGAGCTCACTTGCCCTATGGCAGAAACCTTAAAAAAAAAGAAATAACAAAAATAAAGAACAAGGGCTTTCTAAGCTTTAGATGGGAAGCTCCATAGGTTCAGAAGAATGAGAGCGCTTTGTGGTCTTCTATCCACAAGGTCCAAATCAGAACCGATGACCCCCAAACCCACCTGCCCTTATTGAGCCTGTCACCTCTCAGATAAAACCTTCAGACCTTCCCATTGCTTGAGAGGTAAAGACCAAGAGCCACAGTGGTCTGTGTGGGGCCTTGCAAGGTCTGGCCCCCCTGACCTCAACTGCCAGCACCGCCCTCCCATCCCTGCCCGCCTTGGGCGATCACATGGCCTGGCCCTGTCCAACCCTGGCTTCCTCCCAGTTGCCTTCTCAAGATTCAGACCCAGCCCAGAGCCCGCTTCCTGAGCAGCCCAGTGAGAGCACTCCATGGCTCTGTGCACCTGTGACTCCATTCATGTCTCTCCCCACGACCCCGTGGATCCCCTACACCCACCTGCCAACGTGCACCCAGCCAGTGGGGACTTGTGCACCTCGCTCATGCTGCGGGGCTGGGAGGACGGCACAGGAGCTGCTGAGGGTTGTTCAGGCCTCTCTGTCCTTGGTGCCTAGGGCCAGGCTGGAGAAGGAGCGAGAGCGGGCCAGGGTGACAGGAGGGGGCCCTGGGGAAGTGGCCCAGGACGCGCAGAGAGAGCGACGCGTCTTCCAGCTGCACATGTGTGAGGTGAGGTGTGCTGGGGGTCAGGGGAGGAGGGGATGTGTCTTCCTGTCCGTGCCTCTTGAACCCCGGGGGCCCAGTCCTAGGCTTACCCAGTCCTGACCAGGTGGTCTTACGGGATGAGGCCAAGGCTCAGTTATCCCAGAGTGTTAGTGGGTGGGGACACAGCCCCTGTCCCCAGGATCCGGCTTCGGCTCACACCGCACTCCACCCTGCCCTCCTGCCAGTACCTGCTCAAAGCTGGGGAGAGCCAGGTGAAGCAAGGTCCTGACTTCCTGCAGAGCCTCATCAAGTTCTTCCACGCCCAGCACAAGTAGGTACTCACCCACCTCTGGCTGTCACAGAACAGGGCCCCTCCATGTCGCGGGCCTGCCACGGGCAGACCCACCCAGGTGTTCGGGGCGCGGGCCTCCTGCCAAGGCTTTCTCAGCTCCTTCCTGAGCCCTCACCACAGGGCAGCCGTGAAGTATTGGTCATCAGGGGAGCCATGACACATTTTTGCACAGAAAACCAGAAAAATACAGGCTAGCAGGTGGCACGGTGGTGGAGACATTGGACTTCCACGTGGTTGACCGTGGTTTGTCCTGGACTCGGCAACTTGGAACTCACACCGGGCGTGTGTGCATGCATACCCATAATCCTGAGAGGAGACTGGAGGAAAAGGGATTGCGGTGTGGCCATCCCCCCCGGGAGGTGATTTCTTGCTTTCTGTCTCTCTGGCAAGCACACGTGACCTATAGCAAAAATCTATTAAAAAACAAAACAAAACAAAACAAAACTACGTCATGACTTTCCCGATGACCTAATCCATGGCTGCCAGTCTCAATCCCCCCACACCTCCGGCAGCAGGTAGTAGTAGCCCCAGTTTGCAGATGAGGAAACAGGCTTCTGTATCAAGACTGCATAGCTGGTAAAGGGATCTGAAGCCAGAGACTTCTTTATTTTTTTAAATAAGAATCACTTATTTCATTTTATTTATTACTATTTTTTTATTGGTTATAGGGCACATGCACCCACCAGAAAGACAGAGAGAGAGGGAAAGTGAGAAGGCAAACCACCAGGTCTGCGTCTCACCGCTGGCCATGTGGGAATCCAGTGCCCCAACCACCACGCCACCCTCCAGAGACTCTTGACTCTGGAGTGCCAGCTCTTGACCATGTGGCCCTACCACCCCTCGGAGCCCCATGATCCTTAGAGCACCTTCTAGACTTCTGGCTTCACCTCCCATTTCTCTCTCTCTGGACCCTTGCCTGCCTCTCACCTGGCTTAGCTTCTTCCAAGATGGCTGGAAGGCAGCTCAGAGCCTGTCCCCCTTCATCGAGAAGCTGGCGGCCTCAGTACATGCAGTAAGTCCGGCCTCACCCTTGGGCCCCCCGTCCTTTCAGCACAAGCCGTGGGTGTAGAAGAGCTGGCTCCTACCCAGAGCGAGGCTGCTGCCCTGCTCTGGGTCTGGGTCAGTGCCCGGCATCTGCTGGCCAGCGATGGGTCCTGTCCTCTGTCCCATAGCTGCGTCAAGCACAGGAGGAGGAGCTACAGAAGCTGACCCAGCTCCGGGACTCCCTCCGAGGGACACTGCAGCTTGAGAGCAGAGAGGTCAGCCCCTAGATATCCTGTAAGAAGAGCCCTCCCGCGAGGCCCACCATGGAGGGAGGGTGATAAGGAAGACTCCACAGGGGTCTCAAGCGGCCCCCTGAGTGAGGGCTTCCTGCAGAATGTGGCTCTTTGCAGCCAGAGCCCTGAGGTCCCCTTTGTGTGTCTGACGGACAGGAGCACCTGAGCCGGAAGAACTCAGGAGGTGGTTACAGCATCCACCAGCACCAAGGCAACAAGCAGTTCGGGACAGAGAAGGTGGGCTTTCTGTACAAGAAAAGCGATGGGTAAGTGACGGCTGAAGTGACTGCCCAGACTCACAGCTCGTAAACAATGGGGTGGGGGAAGCTGCCCGAAGGGACTGCCCTTTTTCTTTCTTCTCTTTTCTTTTCTTTTTTAAAGTTTTGCCATAGGGCACATGTGCCCACTGGAAAGAGACAGTGAGAGGAATAGTGAGAAATCACCCCCCCAGGGGGGATGGCCATGGTGCAATCCCTTCTCTCCGGATTCTGGGCACAGACACATATGTGCCCAGCATGATTTTCCAGCCTCCAGGTCTAGGACTTGAACTGCTATCGGCCATGTGAGGGTCCAACACCCCAACCTCCACACCACCTGCTGGCTCCCAAAGGGACTGTTCTTATCATTTGTGTAGACCCTCAAGGTCCAGAGCCTTCCACTGGAGCAACACAAAATCAAATCCGAGATTGTCCAGGCAGGAGAACTTCTGCTGAAGGCCACCGGTCATTCTTAACGTAAAGAAGAGTGGTAGCAGGTCGCATTTATCAAGCTCTCACTGTGTTCTGACTCCTCCCCTCTACAGCTGGGCACTCCCTCTACGATACACGCACTGTACCTAGGAATGAAAGCCTTACTGCCTGATGTTAAAAAGTGAACTCTGCGAAATGCAGATTGCTATTTACTAGTCAGTTTTTATCAGAGAAGAATACCTGAAGAAAAAAAGCAATGAATATTGTTAGGTGGCTTTGTGTTTTTTATTGGTTTGTTTTTGCTGGAGAGACATAGAGGTGGAAGGGGAGGAAGAAAGCTCCCCCTAGTGTTGGGTCTGGGCACAGACACGTATGTGTCCAGCATGATTTTCCAGCCTCCAGGTCTTGGGTGTTTCTCAAGCCGCCAGAGCTGGGATTCCCACTGCATGGTCAGCCACGTGGGATCCGGTTCCCTCAACCACTAGGCCATGAGGCCAGTCCTGTTAGGTGACTTTGGGTCATGGATTTGCTCATTTTATTTTAGAGGTCTCAATGTCAATCTTGCTTTGTCTTTAACCGCCATTCACCTGTCGTGATCAAGAACCTGTTCTTCCACTTGGAAGCTCTGTAGAGTGAGCTGTGTCCTCCATCAGAAGGGAGGCTCTCGGGGGCCCGAGATCACACTGTCCCCTTGAGATACGGATCCAGAGTAGAGCTGTTTCCCCATCACACTGGAACTTGCTAAGGAAAGGCCTATGTTTCTTCTCCACAGTGAGGGAGGTGGAGGCGGGAGGGCAGAGGTGAAGAGCTGCAGCTGCAGGTCACAGGTGGAGCCAGGCCCCTGCTCTCTGAGGTGGGGGAGTCAGGGCGAGCCTCGGGTCACTGTCTCTGTCCTCCCGGGCCCTAGAATTCGAAGAGTCTGGCAGAAAAGGAAGTGTGGCGTCAAGTACGGCTGCCTGACCATCTCACACAGCACGGTGAGGCCTGCAGGCGTGGGGGTCTCGGGGCACGGTGGAGCCCCTCCTGGTTCCGAGCAGACACATGCCAAGGCTGACCCCTAAACTCGGATCCAGGGAGACAGAGACCCCTTGCGGGAAGGCTGGGACCCAAAGCCTTTGGTCTATACTCCACAGCCTGTAGGTGGTTCAGACGGGAGGGATGAATCGGAGCAGGATTATTATGCCCATTGACCAGGTGGGGAAATGGAGACCTAAGGAGTGTGGGAGGCCCAGAGGGTAATGTGCATTCCCCACCCCCGATTCCCAGATCAACCGGCCCCCAGTCAAGCTGACCCTGCTGACGTGCCAAGTGAGACCAAACCCAGAGGAGAAAAAGTGCTTCGACCTGGTGACCCGTGAGTGGTGACCCCCTCCCCAACTGGCTTTTCTGAGAGACCTGTCAGCCCCAGGGGGCCTCCACTCAGGGGTCTGTGTCCAGCTCACCTACAGTAGGAGCAGCTGGGCACTCCCTGACAGGGTGGCAGAGGAGGGTGACGGGATTGGAGCGGCCGAGGCACAGGTCTGGCTGCCCGCCCAGGCTGGGGGAAGAGGACAGGCAGGAAGCAGGGAGACCAGACTGGAGGCCCCCTGGGGGTGGTGTGAGGAGTAAGGCCAGGACAGCCTGCCTCAGCTGGGCCGGGCTCCGAGCCCTGGGAGACCTCCAGGGACTCCAGGACCCAGACTTCACCAGAGAGCTTTGCTGGGATCCTGCTTGGAGGTGACTTCTGAGAAACAGCCCCTGCTGCCAGCCGCTGTCACTGCCCTCCCCCAGCGGGCACTGCAGGGACACAAAAGCTCTGGCAGGACCCAGCGGTTTTGGTGGCGGCTCCCTGGGCTCTGGGAGGCCAGCAGGATTGCTGAGGGCCAGACGCCCCTCTTCTCCCACAGACAACAGGACCTACCACTTCCAGGCAGAGGACGAACACGAGTGTGAGGCGTGAGTGCCCCCTGGCCCGCCCTGGGGGCTGCGGGCGGGCGCCTTAGCCTCTGGGCTCTCATCCCCACGCCCCCACCCCGCACCCTCTCGGCAGGTGGGTGTCAGTGCTCCAGAACAGCAAGGACGAAGCCCTGAGCAGCGCCTTCCTCGGGGAACCCAGCGGCGGCCCGGGCTCCTGGGGGGGCGCGGGGCTGGACGGGGAGCCCCTGGACCTAACGAAGCTGCTCATCGCCGAGGTGAAAAGCAAGCCCGGGAACGACCAGTGCTGCGACTG